AGGCCTTAACTGATAAGATCGATTAAAATCAGACAAAACACAGACTGGACATTAGAATACGTAAGGTTGGTTTCCTGTCAACGTCTACAAAATCTACCTGATATCGAGTCAACTGACATTAAGTTCAATGTATCCCAAAGTAAACAGACAATCTGTCATTATTTAAACTATTTTTTATGCTAATGTAGGTTATCTGTAAGCATTAGCCTGAACTGGAATTTTTGTTCAGATCATATCTTCTAGAATATTGCCGTTTGTATTTGAAAACAAGACATACAGTTGAATACAACCTATCGTTAGAACTGTTACATTATACAATCCACCTTTTTTTCAAATTCAATGATTCCCCAAACTTCCATGATTGTATCTAAATGATGTGAAGAGTCATCCCAAAACTCCTAAGTATTTTGTTTTAGATGCATTTCATTTATGAATGATCATTCATGAATTTTACATTTGAATTTTAATCTTAAAACGAAATGTAATTCAAACATTTAATGCGTTACTTTTCCAAATTTCTTAGACGCTGCTGCATTTTTCTAATTAAACAAATGTAAACACCATAAACAACTTATAAATTATTTTCTATAGCTGCCGGGTTAAAACGGTCAATTGACTTCCAATATATTTGTAAGTGTTATCTCCCATACCCCAGGTCTTCCACCTTAAGGTCCCTTTTGGTTATTCCTCTTTACATATTCAAGGACTTCATGGCTTTCAAAGTTCCCGGTTTCATGGTTCCTGATGAAAGTAGATCCAGAAAAGCAGTCCATATGCACATAAAGTGCATTATTTTCATTGAACAGATACCGAGATTTTGCCATGCAACATTCCATGTATGGATCATTGGAAGAGTTGTCGCTCATGAACGAGCATATACAAGGACTTTTTTCACAACACTTGGAATCCGATTAAACGCTTATCTTTTGACAGGACATTGTTGTGCCTGTAAAAGTATTCCACATAGCAGGTTTTGCCACAAGACATCAAAGAAGGTTCTACTGTCAGACGAAACAAGTCTATATAGCCATTTGTGTGTGGCACAATCACCTCGGGGATCTGTTGAATCATATTTAATTTCATTTATTTAATTTCTATGTATCATTTCGTTATGAAAAAACTAAATCAATAACAAAATGTTCTTCAAAATGTTGAAGTTTAGGAGTTAGTTATTATCAAGAATGTAAATATATTGATTTAGGGCAGCATACATGCATTTACTTAGTTTACAAATAAATTGAAATGCTGATTGATGTTGGTCATTCTATTATTGACATATAGGATTTAATTGGAAGTTATACGAATACAATTAAATATTCTATCAAAATGACAACTGTTGTGATACTTTTTCAAATCAGCATATTTATGAGCATCATAATTTGCCTCGATCTTATAATTACAAAGACGAATCATGGATAAATCTAAATGTTGAAACAATATAAAATAATGGTGTTTAATCATTCACACAATTACGTATATGTCTACTCAAAGATATCATGTCGAATTTGTTGTTTGTGAAAGGGACAGAAAATAACAGAAAAAACGATTTATGCCCATGGAAAAACTAATCATGGTGTGAAAGAAATTTAGGAATCTTAAAAGAAAAACCCTCAATTTTTTGGCATGAAATATTTGATAGTTTATCATAATTTTATATAGGACTGAAGTGTGAACTTTTACTAATAAGGCAAACTGCTGTTCAAAGTCCGTAATCTTATGAAAATAATTGATTACTTGCTGGATGCGTGAACCATGAATTATTAGTCGACTGAACGACATATTTTTTAATTCGACACAAAACTACATTTATAAGCGTATGTTTTGATGTGTTGACAAGAAGGGGGGACAATGAATCTGAAAGCTTAGTTCTCTAAACAGGTCTACAGAATTCCTAAAAATCCTTATTGAGTACAAACATTTCTATGACAATAAGACAACCAGTTATACATCTTGTTCTGCATGATCTGTTACAATATAGATGTTGCAAATGATATAGAAATGTTTTTCAGTCAGAAAGGAACAGAATTGAATACACTGTTTTTGTAACTGTAAAATTTTGACCTTTGTTCATTTCTGTACACTGGTTTGGAGTTGAAACTACAGTGAAAGAAATAGTCTCTGTTTTTCTTAATATAGATATAAAAGCAACTCCGCACTGCTTCTGCTTTAGTAATGCTGCCCCGGCAAGAGGACTGCTAACATAATTATATTGTTGTTTGTTTTGAATTATTTACCTAATTTGAAATAAAACCATCGAAGCAAATATTTAAAAGGATTTTCAGGTTCATTAGACATTTTGGAATATCATTTTCCTGAAAAACGGACATTTGTAGCTAACATTCAATTTGTTTAAACAAATCAGTTATTGTTAAAAAAAATTATAGTGGTTTTGACGATATTTGAAGAAATGAAGCACCGTGGGAATTTTAATATCTATCAATTTGAAAAAGGTCTTAAAAATTCTAAAGATCTACTACTAAATCTTAGATCATAATATCTTCAATTTTGCAGCATCATTTAGACCTTTGATTGCTTTGACGCTTAACACTACTATTCCCCATGCTCAATTGCCAGATCGACTTCACCATCTGATTAAACAGAGCTTTTTTCTATAAAAATGGGAATCGTAGATATACATTTCTTGTTTTGGGTTATAATAATTCTTATTTTGTGAAGAACCACACTCATTCTATCAGAAAATACACTGATGATGATATTTTCAAAATGCTGGACTTTTTAATCGACAATATATGTGTTGAGGTTGGAGGATTGATATATCAATAGACAGTCGGTACTCCAATGGGTACTAATTGTGCACCCCTTCTGGCCGACTTGTTTTTGTACTCGTATGAAGCAGAATTCATTCAGAACCTTCTAAAAGACAAAAAGAAAAAGCACCTTGCAAAACTCTTTAATTTTACTTTCAAATATATTGATGATGTCCTATCACTGAATAACCAATATTTTAGTCAGTACTTGCATCTCATATATCCCAGTAAACTTGAAATTAAGGATACTACTGATACTAGAAGAACTGCTTCATACCTTGATCTTTTCCTCAAAATTGACAGAGATGGACGACTACACACTAAAATCTATGACAAACGGGATGATTTCAACTTCCCCATTCTCACCTTCCCATTTCTCAGCAGTAACATACCCTCTGCCCCGTCGTATGGTGTTTACATATCTCAATTGATACGTTACGCTCGTGCATGTTCATACTATACGGATTTGATATACAGGAGTGTACTCCTTACGCAGAAATTGCTCCAACAGAGTTATGAGGAGGAAAGATTAAAAATGACAATCCGTAAATTTTATAGACACCATCACGAATTGGTTGATCTATACAATGTGTCTGTTTCTAAACCAACTAATGACATGTTTACCACGACTTAGATTGTGGTTTAACATCTATGTCGTCTGTCTTCGAAGTACCGAACGTGACCTATTCCTGAATATGACTGTTTTGCCGAGTGTGAATTTGCATTGCTGTACGACGTGTCTCGGTATTTATACATCCAACATTCATGTATTTATTTAATATGATGTTTCTGTTGTGGTTTTGGTTGGATGTTGTGTTATGTCTTATTGTTTGTGGTTTGAATTCTGTGTTTTCGGTATATTTTACATATGTCTTATTTGTCAGTATAGTCGAGTTATTTTCCATTTTCCATGGATAAAGTATTGTGTTAGTCCAAATAATTATGATGTCGTCACAGCATTTATCTAAAATAGCCTTTCAATACCGTCATAATTATGATGATTGTTTGGACTAGTATTGTGAAAATAGTTGTATGTATTTCAAGATTATATAGTTGTTACAAAAATACGTCAATGTTTGTGATGTCCTGTGCTGTCATTAATGGAAGATGTTCGTTGTTATTCTAATGTTTACATGTTGCTCTGTGCTGAGGGTTCTGTGCGTTTGTTTGTGTTGTATTTCTGTGCGTTTGTTTGTGCTGTATTTCTGTCACGTAGTGTTGTCATTCGAGCGATATTTTTAAAAAATTGCTATATAAGCGGGAGGTTTGGCTAGCCATAAAACCAGGTTCAACCCATCATTTTTTTTCTTAAAATGTCTTGTACCAAGTTAGAAATATGGCAGTTGTTAAGAAATAGTTCGTTTCTAGGTATGATGGCGTTTGTTTTTGTTGCACTTCAGTGTTTCTGTTGTTCCGTTGTTTTCCTCTTATAGCTGATGTGTTTTCCTCGGTTTTAGTTAATAACCCAGATTTGTTTTCTCTCAATCGATTTATGACTTTTGAACAGCGGCATACTATGCTGCCTTTATTGAAAAAAGATATCTTCTTTTGCTTCGAATTAATCATAGTCACAGTCAAGGGAAGTCATTGTGTGCTTCTTCGTAACCAAACAAATCAAGTCGGTATATGCTTCGTCTGTGAGGACCATTTCATTCTGCATAATACTACTCGGCAGCGAATTGATAAGAACTTGTCCTATACCATTTTATAAGTTATCTATTTGTACAGATCGGATGTTTTTGCATTTTAAATGGATCTAGGAAATTTCAAATATCTTATTATTGATAAACCGTTATGTATCTCATATACTGTAAAACGAATTTCAAAGTGTTTCAACCAAAGAATGAATGTAGAAATAAAAGCTGTTCAAACATTTTCAAACGAACCAATTAAAATCTAAATAGTGTTTATGGATTGAACTTGTAGCTGTGTTCTCCTCTTTGTTCACTTATCAAACCAATCCATTATAAAAACTTATTATTTTAATACTTTCAAATACTTGTACAAGTGATTTGGTTAAATATTCGATCAAATGATACGGATTTTCTTTATTCGACGTATAGATCTACTGTCTCTATATTGAAATACAAAAGTTCCTCCAGTAAATACAGATAGAGACAAATAATATCTAGTCAAATTGTATATTGGTGTATAAATTGATTGGATTAATTTAAAACACACATTCCTAAACATGCTAAACACACAAAATCATAAAAAAATAATTTTACATACCTGTTCGACTGTTGATCGAAATCGTATCTGTAATGAGTTTATCGTCAAAGCTGAACAGGTTAAAAGGCAAGTTTTTCCAGGTATAGAGATGATATTTTTAAATCCTATGTTGTGTTTGAAAATGCCCGCTTAGATCCAAATAACAACTGCCATTTATTATTTTTTATTTGGCATAAATATGGAAACTGAATAATAGCTTTGAAATCTGAGTTATATTTTGTCAACAGCCTGATGTATTTTCCTTTGAATGGTTGCTTTCCTTTTGCACTCAAATTTAATATTATTAAAAAGTTAATTTTCTCATAGTGCAAAATTTTGAATTAGAACTTGTCAACTAATACATATATGTATTCTAACACAGGAGATATACGTAACACATTATATTGAAATGTTGTGCTTCACTGGGTTAAATTTACATTAAGTTAACAAATCTGCCATTGTCAAGTGTTACGTTTATCAGATATATTGCTAATGCAAACTAAACTTTAAAATTGTTATGTAATTTGTGTAAATTTTGGAAGACTAATATTAAAATATCTATACATTTGACTGCAAAATTTGCAAAGGTTTAAAAAAACCCAAAACAATTCATCTATTAAAGGTAAATGAAAACAAACAATCACTTTTATTTAAATGAAGTAAAACTAGTAAAATAAGGATTGGGACAAATACGTAGCTCCTTTTCCTGTGTTTCTTTACTCATATCAGGAAATGCTATAATCGATAATGCAAAATACCTATTTCATGTACATGTTGTTGTTTGGTCTCCATGTATTAAATCCTTTATTTTTTCGTCGTGGTCATTTCTAGTTTTTAAGGCATAGGTATAAATTACTATGTCATGGATATGATAAATACTCGTGTTTTTATGAAAAAAATAAACCAATTTTGATATTAAAAAGCTACCAGACTCTATTGTCAATAAAGAAATAAATTGTTATGTCGTCATACATAATTTGACGTAGCGTTCATACAATGTAGGTGACAGATTTTTTGAAAATCAGAATGGCAAAATCCCATGGGGATGTGTTTATTACTTCCTATAATTTTTGTGGTATGCGTGTGCTGCAAAACAGGGTCGCTTTTTCATGTCCTGCTGGTTAATAGAACTTTTTGTTTTTAAATGCGTCAAAAGACAGTTGAGTTTGGATACAGAAAATAGATGCAAGCATTGTATGACTAACATTAATGTAATTATTTTCACAGGGTTAAAGTGAGTAAAAGTCATATATTTTCTTAGCTAGTCTAGAACTGGGTTTACAGTGGGTGGTAGGAGCGGTGTCATCCTGGATTCCCGGAAAATTATACACTGCATCCGGAATTCCCGAATAAATAAAACATAATTTCCCGATTCCCGAAAAGTTAAATCATTGCTTCCTGAATCTGATAGGGTTAAATTCTGAATTCCCGTGAAAATAAAGGTCCGATTCCGACGTCTCGTAAAAGGTCCTTCCAACCCTCTTTACATTTTCGGAGAGTCTCGAACAGATTATGTTTTCCCATATTTTCTGTAAAGAACCCAAAAGGATGACAAGCTATGCCAAACAAAAAAAACAAAAAATTGAGCTGTCCCCCTTTCCCCCTTTTTCCTATCTGGTCACTATTTCCACTAATGAATAACAGTGTTAGGGTTCTTCCTTGTTTTGGCATATCAATAATAACCCTGACACAGAGCGTAAACGGTTTGTATACTTCAATATTATTTGGTACACTTGTAAAATAATTTACCTTTCTTCATCCACATTATCTATACTTCGAAACTGGTAACCTTCCGAAAGATACCGAAAGTCCGACAGTGGCACCATCAGTTATCATAATACGAAATGTAGCATAAAATGAGCGTACAAATGTCGAATATACAAATCACCTAATTTGCAATCAACGCGTTAGAAAAGTGTCGATTTACAAGTATAATACGCTTTTAAAAATAACATAAAAGCAAAGATGCTAATTGACAACTACAAATTTACAAAATACAAATGTACAATTTAGCTATTTACAAATTACAAATAAGCATATCACAAATGTAGCACCAAATGATCATATACAAATGTTGAATTGACAAATCACGAATTCAAGAATTATCAATATACATATCAAAAATGTAAAAATAACACAGTTACAAGTTACAAATTGACAATTTACGAATTTGGAATTAGGACCCCGTTGGTTGTCCATACAATTCAAGTTCTATATGAGCTCAGAACAGTTGTATTACCTGATATGTTAAGATAAGGTATGTCCAAAATATAAGGAAGACATGGCATTTAAAATCATTTAAAGACGTCATATTCAAATCGTTTCATCAATGCTGAACTAATATTCACATTTTCCAAAAAGCCTTTAGTTTGATTTTTAAGAAATACTAGTACAGTGCAGATCGGTGTATCCGCATACCACAGAATTGTGGTTTCACTTTGTGTTGGCATTGAAGTTCCTTATGAAGGCAGAAAAGCGAATCGGTCGCAGAAAATTAATAACGTGCTTATCTGTTTCTATTTAACATGATGTTGTCACTCTTTCGTCTTTTCGTGATTTATTGATACCTTCATATGAAATATGGAGATGAAGTTGTTTGCCAATGAAACAACTATTTATCAGAGACCAACAGACGTTGATTTTTCCATCTATAGGTCACCGTACTACCTTCAACAATGAACAAAACTCATACCTCAATCAAGATATAAAAGGCCACGACATAACAAAAATGTTTTGACCCTTTTTTTTATACTTTTTGATAATCGTTCTAAAATTAACAGTTTTAAACTAATTGTAATAGTCAGTTTTATTTCAGTTACAATTAACACTTAACACTCTGTTCATGTTTATTTAAGATGAAGTAGTTTTAAAGTTCAAATATTGACATTTTTTTATATAATTTAATAGATACTGTATATTCATAGTCATACTCACATTTGAATCCTAAGGTTTATAAACTTATATGAAGATAACAAGTATAAGTTGATGGTCCTTTTGATTCTGTTGACAGTGTTGACTTTTCAACTCTTTACACTACACATCCACACAATCTTATCAAACCAAAGTTTTCCTAATTAATTAAATGGTCGCTTGGAAAATCTGTATGCAAATATATTTTCTGCAACTCATGTAAAGCCTTCTTTTTTAACGAGAAAGGCAAATATGCTAGATATACTTACTGGAGGTGTGATGAGATGATTGAAGCTGTTAATTTTCTCCTTGATAATATTTATATACGTTTCGGCAACAAAGCTTATCGACAAGTTGTAGGTATTCCTATGGGCACTAATTGAATCCCTTTAATAACAGATTTGTTCTTGAACTGTTATGAATCACAGTATATGACCAAATCAGTAAACGTCTAAAATGCATGTAATTGATAAATTCAACAACATTTACCGTTATTTTGATGATATTGTTTCGTTAAATAATCAAGAATTTTCTAAATAAACTGTCGAAATTTACCCAAAGGAACTTACCTTAATAAATAAAATGTAAACGGTAATAACTGTCCTTTCCTAGATTTAGATATTTCAGTTTTACACAGGAAAATCCACATTTAAATTTACGACAAAAAGGACGATTTTTCGTTCCCTATTGTTAATTTTCCGTTTCTGGATGGTGACGTTCCTTTGACACCAACTTACGGATTTTATATATCACAAGTCGTTCGCTATGCCCGTGTCTGTTGTGACGTTTAGGATTTTAATGAAATTCAATGTAATCTATGTATTACTGGTCTATTATTAAGTCAGGGATTTCGTTACCACAAATTACATAAAACTTTTACTAAATTCTTCCATAGATATAAAGAATTGGTTTTGAAGTTTGTTTGTACCTTATTTCAAACGGGAAAGCACATCTTCATTTTTACAGAGATGTCGTTTACCGTCCCTGGAAATTTAGAAAAGATCCTGGTAAACTTATCGATCCTTTAAATAAACTTATTCTAAAAGATTACCAATCCAACACTATCATTAGATCCTTGAATATTATTTTTATTTCTATCAATATTGATTTTGATATCAATAAAATTAAAAGCAAACTAAATAGTATTGTTACATACATATGCACATTCATGGCGTTACAATCTGTCGAAACCTGTATCTTGGCATTGCACAAGGTCATGTTTTTCTCTGACTGTTTATGACGCATTTACACTTAATCAATTAGATGTTGGATGTGTACTGATTGATAATTTGATCTTAGATGCATATTTTTTTTTATTAGTTGTTATTGGCTTTGAACTAGCTGTCAATAACTGCGAGTACTCTCAGATTTGTACTTAGTGTCTTTTTGTTGTTTGGATGTACAAGTACCCGGCCACGTCCACTCTGTGTTTTCATTAGATGTATTTCTTTTTGTATCCATCTAATGAGTTCAGCCTTTTTCAACTGCTTTTTATAGTTTGTTCTTTTTGTTGTACTGTTACACCACTGTCCCAGGTTAGAGGAGGGTTGACGCCTATAAACTAGTTTAACCCCGCCACATTCTGTATGTGCCTGTCCCAAGACAAAAACCTGTAATTCAGTGGTTGTCGTTTTTTGCTGTTTAACATAAATTATTTGTTTGTCGTTTATTATTTTATACATTAATTAGGCCTTTAATTTTCTCGTTTTTGTCATTTCGGGGCCTTTTATTGATGATTATGCGGCATGGGATATGCTCATTGTTGAAGGCCGTACGGTGACCTATAGTTGGTAATTTCTGTGTCATTTTGTCTGTTGTGAAGAGTTGTCTCTTTGGCAATCATACCACATCTCCTTTTTTATAAATCCATAGATACATATTTTAAAAGCAGTCTAGTTAAGCTAGCTATAATTTTATATTACTGAATTCATTCCAAAACCGTGTTTGTATTATATACACCTCGAGGGCGTTAGCCCGAATGGGTGTATCTAATTTATACCAAGTTATTATTGTCAATGCAGAATGATGGCTAAACTCAGTAAAAATCCATCTAAATTGTATTTAGTTGAGAACTTTAATAACACTTACCGTTATCTTGATGATGTTTTTGCGTTAAATAATAATGTTACTCATTGATGCTTTGCATTAACTTTTTCTCAAAGGTTATCAATTTAACATACTACTAGTAATTAAGATCTTAAAACATTGTTTTTATTGGTACTAACATTGATTTTGTTTTTAAAAAATTAAATCCTAACTAAATATATATTGCTATTTATAAGTCTTAATTGAAAACAACGTTCAAACCTATGATTGCGTTGGATAAAAACCGCAGTTTTTATACGTGTGCATGCAAAACACATTTCTAGGTAGAGGGGTCTAAATACAGTACAAACAACATTTTCCAAAAGATCAAAAAGTGAAAAAGTATATTCTAACAAAACACATTTGACTAACAGGTCGAACAACGGTTGTTCTTAAACCCTGCTGACTGCCATT